TAATTATAAAGCTGCCTAGCTACAAGCAAAACTGTCAAGAGTTTTTTTGTTTTCTTTCTAAGAGTGGCCCAATGGACAAAAAAAAAATACAAAAAAGAGAGGGAAATCAGAGTAAGAACAAAGGGAGGCGGACACCGGGATAAACTCCTTACCTATCTCTGAAGGACTTGCCCACTCAATGCTGTCAATTATTTTCTGTTCCAAGCATTCATCTATGAAATCAGGTATAATCACAAGACCTGGTGGAGGTACATTGGACTGAGGTTTGTCTGTTGGAACTGTGCACAAAACACAAGAAAAATAGAAGATAATTACAATGAAAACAAAAGTCACTTCCATCACTGCTCCATCATTATCCGGCTAAACAGAGGTGCAGGACTTATATTTTGACATTTTTAGCGAGGCAAAAAATTAGATCAAATTAAAAGCTCAGAATTTGAAACAGAAACACTTTTGGAGGTTGGAGCATTGAAGAAACAAATGGATAGATATGGGAATTCCCAATCAGAAGGCCCTCAATCGTACATGTACTGCATTAAATAATTGTGCTTTATAAGTATTTATTATTATTATTATTACCAATGGAACATGTATTTAATTTCCTTAACTCTTCAAAATATAGTCGAAAATTTGATGGGAAGGGAGATTGAATGTGTGGCAACAATATTTCTAGCTTTCTGTACTATTTTCAGACACTCTGCTTCTATTGGTACAGAAAAACTTACCACTTTCAACAAAAGAAAGGTACAGTGTGACATTGGATGGTCCCTGACCCTCTCTCAAACGGTGACCATGCAGTCTGTGCATGGCAGATGTTGCGAGAGAAGTGTTACCATACTTCACGAAGCAGTAGGGTTTTTCCCTTAGCATCACAACATCTTCCACTGGTCCTACAGTGCTAAAAATAGTGTGAATTTCACTTCGCTGAATTCCGTTCCCAAGACCGCCATTGGCAACCAGCAGGATCTAGAAAAATAAAGAATAAGGTAAAGAGAAAAAGCTGATTTTTATAATTTGTTTTAACTTCTTCCTTATCTTACTACTTCAGCATTCTCTCCTTTGCTTTTAAGCTGGGAGAGGTTGATAAGAAAGATATTTTGCCGGAAGTATATGAGTAGAATTAATTGGAGGGATACAAAGAAGATTAAATATAAAAGAAAAGTATTATATGTTGAAGATGAAAAGAAGATAAATGGATGTTGAGGAATGAAGAGGGGGTAAAAGGTCAGGAGAGTAAGGTAAGGGGGGAGACACAGAAGAAGAAGAAGAAGGAAGAAGAAGAAGAAGGAGGAGGAGGAGGAGGAAGGAGGAGGAGGGGAAGAAGGAGGAGGAGGAAGAAGGATGGGAAAGGGGAGTAGGGTGATGAGGAGAACAGTAATTTGTAGAAGAAATAAAGACAGAAAGTAGAAAAAGAAGGAAATATGAAGAGGACAAAGACAAGAAGGAGAAAAAGAAGGAGGGGGGAGATGAAGGAGGAGAAGAAGGAGAAGGGGGAGATGAAGGAGAAAAAGGAGGGGGAAGATGAAGGAGAAGAAGAAGGGGAAGATGAAGAAGAAGGGGAAGATGAAGGAGAAGAGGAAGATGAAGGAGAAGGGGAAGGAGAAGGGGAAGATGAAGGAGAAGGGGGAGATGAAGGAGAAGGGGGAGATGAAGGAGAAGGAGAAGGGGAAGAGGAAGGAGAAGGTACATTTACACTGCATGAAAAACACACACATATTCTGCACTCGCCGACACTGAAGTCTCACAAATTTCCATATTTCACGACATAAAAATGAATACGTGGGAACGGCTAAAACGGGCTAGGCCAGATTATATTTTCTGATATAATTAAATTGATATACTTACAGGCGTTGGACGGGTAACTGTGTGAATTCCATCATGCTTAAGTAATGTATGACATGCTTTAGCTTGTTTTTTAGCGAGTTTCCTTTCTGATTTTGATAGTTTTGTTGGCGAGTCGGCGACTGCCTCTGCTCCTCCTGAACTGGCCATGTTGTCGTTAAAACGACAAATCGAAAAGGAAAAACAACATTTCGCGAAAAGGGACAAGATTCTAACGTTTAGATCTATATTTTTTAATTCTTTTTAAACCTACCTACCGTGTGACATTTTAACTATATATTACAACGTCAAATGAAATCAAAGTAAAATGTTTTTTCTTTACTCACATATTTGTCACATGTCAAAAGTGTTTTGTCAAAATCTTACTGTTTGATATTGAATTTGGAGCTCAAACCTATAGGCGCTTATATGCAATACATGTAGGACTGGACAAAATTTGCTTTTGACTTTGAAGGCCTTTAAAACTGTTGTATGAAATTCATACAAGATAATGACCTATATATAATAAAAAAAAGTTGAATTGTTGATCTTTACTCTCATATTATGTTCCGTTTCGAAACTTTTAACTGGGTATTACCAGAGTATCACCTCCCTCTGTTTGAGATATAATAACGGCCCAAACCTGCATGTAGGCGGGCATTTCTGATGTTTCTAGCCCAATGCACAGTATGTTTGGGTGTCCAAATATTTTTTTTATCAGAAAACAAAATAGCAATGTGATATTCGATCGATTTCTCCTTGCTCTTGGAATACACAACAAAAAATCGATATGATTTTAGCAATCAAAACTACTAAACAATAGACTATTTTCGTAATGTAACCAAATTTATTGCACAAGTCTTTTTGTAGTGCCTCAATACAAATTATTTCATTTACCTGATAAGAATAATAGTAATTCAATAGTCAGAATGCAAACTGCATATATCAAGTGTTGCTAGATAGGTCAAGCCATAATGTTTGTCCAACTTGGCAACAGCTAATGTATGCAGTTTGGATTATGTCTATTGAAATACTATTATTCTTATCAGGTGAGTGAAATAATTTGTATTGAGGCACTTCACAAAGATTAAATTTGGTTACATTACGAAAATGGCCTATTAAGAAAACAAACAAATCCTCTTGTAAAGTAAAACAGAGTTTCAGACAAAATAATTACAAGAACTCCAAGTTATTCGCATTCAAGTCATGTATATTTGTTGTTACTGACCAAAATCAATAGATGATAATACCTTCTTTTTTGTAAATCATGTGTGAAGACATTTGAAATATATAAATATATATTGAAAATGCTTTCTAATGGACAATAGTCAGGTTCTTTTAGAACAATTAATACAAAGATAACAAGGGTCTTTGGCTGACTTCTCTTCTCTAACAGTGTGATATAATGATGATGATGATGATGATGATGATGATGATGATGATGATGATTACAATGACGATGATGATGATGATGAAACATATAAATATATTTTGAAATTCTTTTTAATGGACAATAATTAGGTTCTTTTAGAACAATACACAGATAACAAGGATCTTCAACTGACTGCTCTACTCAGTTTGATATGATAATGATGGTGATGATGATGATGATGATAATAAGAATAAGAAGAATAACAATAGTAATATTGAATAATACCAATAATAATAATAATAATATTAACAATAATAGAAAAAATAGTAATAATGAAGATAGTAACAATCTTGCATATTTTTAACCTGCCAAACATTGCGTTTCAAGGCACCATAATGCTGCTGTAGTCCTTGCAGCTCTAATGCAAAGCATATTACTATACCAAACAGAGAGTGAGGACAACAGCACCAAAGTTCCATCATATATGATATAAAATATAAAGCTTTGATATAAAAATGTTAAATGCAGAGGGATTTGAATAAGTGGGTTTTTAACATGGAGCATTTAGGAAAAGGGGAGGCAAGCTATTCCCTAATTTCAATGTGCATCAGGAATAGTGAGCTGAGAGCCGACATTTACACATATCTTTTCTTTACAGTTAATTTTGATCATAACATTGTACTTATCTACATGTACTTAGCTGCCTTAGAAAATATCCTCTACAAGATGTACACAGAGACATACCGTTACAACATTGCACTTCACACAAAACTCCTGAAAACATGTTTTCTTAGTAGAACTATTAAACTTTGTTGAATAATACTTTGTTTCTAAAATTGATCAATATTTTGAAGATTTGAACAAATTATATAAATAAATGTATCGTATATACGATATTGTCATATTCATACTAATAATCCGCAAGAAGTTCCAATTAGAACCAAATACCTGACACCTGCAAGGCACATAATACCATACCTTGCTTGTTTCACATTTTCAAAAGCATAATAAGCAAAATTTCACAGACACCATTTTATTTTTATTTTATTTAAGGGGGGGGGTGGGGGGGTGAGTTTGAGAGACTGAAGGAGAGATATAAATCAAAATCTAATAATTCATGATTATCATATTAAGTAATGACATTGAACTAGGCCATTACATTTACATTTTTACCTTGTGATATATGAGTTCAAACAATCCTCATTCTTATAGAGCACTATCAAATTAGATCGTTAATCAAAGTTTCATGTCTCCTCAACTTAAACATTAGTCCTCAGACTCATTGTGCTACTCGACCATCTATTTGGTACAATATAAAGGTTAAAGTGTTTATGAGCTATAATAGTAGTTTGGGAGCAACATAATCAAATGGTAATTTGGTCAGTGAAAGTTTCTAGCCCTATGAACAGCTGAATCTGCTACACATCAGGTGACTTGGATTTTTGAACTCATTTTACCCACTAATAACGAGTGATGATATACAAATTTTAAAAAGTAACTTCAGATTATAAATGTAGATTTTATTAAAGTTTAATAAGTTCATATGATCTTGAATGTAGGTTTGGTCGCAATAATTCAGTCAACAACATTCTTTCCTTGTTCACTTTATTTAAAGGGAGTGTAGCGTGGCAAATACTGGTTAAAGCAATCTACGACTTCATTTGGACAACTGCACGTAAACACATGGACTTGATTAACGGTCAGCGCGCGCTGCAGCGTTCTCCTCACGCTAATTCGGTTTTGCATATGTTGCACGCACATGAATACTGCAGTTGCATCGTCAGTAGTCGTATTATACCCAATTGGCCCAGAGTCAAGCCACGGGAAAGACACATAGTCTCGTCAAGCTACACCCCCTTTAAGTAATTAACAGTTCTAAATGCTGACTGGAAAGGCATTTGCTTGCCTCATTCCATCTACGGATATCATAAATAACAAGCTGCATCAATCAAAAATGTCCATCATGAATACCCCTTTAAAAAATCATTTTCCTTTTCTCAGGTGCTCAAAATGTTCCACTGTCCTCTGGATGGCTTCGTCCAGACTCACGATGGGCTTGTACCCCAGGAGTTTCTTGGCCCGCTCGCAGCTGTAGTAGTGGTAGGTCCCCGCTATGGCCACCTTCATGGGCGTGAAGGTGACATTGATGTTGGTGAACGGCTTGAGGAGAGTGCAGATGAACTCGATGATGAGGGAGATGAAGTAGATGAGCAAGTAAGGGAGGTGGTACTTAGGAGCGTCGTAACCGAGGCCGACCAGGAAGCGGGTCAGGACGGACCAGAAAGGAACGGGTTCGTCGTTGGTGATGAAGAATGCCTTGGAAAAGAATAAAGACATGATTACTTGTTTGTTTCTTGTCTGGATGCAAAACAGATGAGACTTAATTAAAGATAAAACTGAGTTCTGGTCATGTGATTGCATTGTGAAAGAAACGATGTGGAATCAATCAGACAAAGTTAATCATGTACATGTAGCATATAAGTATTGGTGTGTACTGCAAGGTTCTAGAGCCATCAAAATGATCACCTCAGTCTTGGTAAAGTAACAAGTGTACACAGAAAGATGTATATGGGACTACACAAACATGTTGCATACAAATTGGGCCTCATTTTTAAGCTGTTACTCGTCATATTTAGAATATGAAGGCATTTGAAGAGCCATGTTTTTCAGGGAACATGTTTTCTCTGATGTTCTTCCACACTTGCATAATAACAATGATAACGCTCACAAATTATTTTTCACCTCTCCCAAGAACTCGACCTTCTCTTTAAGAAGGGTCTTTCAGGAGAACCATTTTAATTTCAGTAGACAGGTTGTAGAACACTCTAGACCTCAAAGAGAAATTTGCATTTCTACCCTGGCAAAACCATTAATATTTAAGTTGCACTGCATTTAAGTCTTCCCCTTCCCCAAACATTTAATGAAAGACTTTTTCAAATGATTCTGGAAAATAAACCTATCTATAAAATAAAAATCAATTGCATTTTTTACTATTCAGTGAAAAATTCCCTTTACTTCTGTATGACTTTTTGTATGTTGTCATGACCTAAACTCAAGACCACATTTCAAGCTTCTTCTACTTCTGATTAAGTTTGCCTCCTTCGTTTGACTAAAGATTCTTGCAAACTATGTGCATGTGTGTGTGTTAACCACAATATACGTCCATTCAAGAGCTATTTACTAGGCCCACCCTTTAATCTCAGCCAAATCAGTTAATCATGAATGGACAAATGACAAATATGAAAGTCAGAAAGACCAAGAGACACTTAAAGCCCCACTGTAGCTACCAGCTCCCTCTATATAGCCAACAATGCCTAAGCTGTACCTGTTAGTCCCCCATGGTCCCCTTTTTCTTATATTAACTGAGTCTGAGAGCTGATTTGATGAGATAACCACCTGCCAGTGACCACGCAGGGAGGTCTAATCCCTCCTGGCCAAACTAGTGCAGACAGGATTTAAACCAGTCCTTCTCAACTAGTTTATTAGAAGTGCCAAAACAAAAAGAATTTGTAGTTGAAGTGCCACCCTGTAAGGTCGACTGCGCTGCGAGGGAGCGTAGTGACCGAGCCGAAAATGGGTGGGGTCCAGGGGCGAAGCCCTAACAGGGGTAGCAGGGGGCTGAGCCCCCTGAAGCTGGTAGATTTAGGGCTTTCTAAAGGCCCAAATGGGGAATTTTTAGCACCATTTCATTCCACAATATAATCACTCATAATTTCATATTGATGTGAAAAAATTAGTAAAATTCCTGAGTACAATTACACTGGAGGTATATTTATATGTAGTTTTTTTGTGTGCAATATACACGGGAAATGTCAAAATAAAGTGAAATTAAACAAACGAAAACGAGAGGTTTCCAGATATTGGCAATGGTGAATATCTCATCGTAAGCTAATTGTTGTTCAGACCTTTTAGATTCGTATAAATGGTAAAAAACGATAAATTCCCCCTTTTTTTCTTTTTGTTAATAAACAGGCATTTAGGGCTCGAATTCGACTGCAACTTCTTGATTTAGCTGAGTATTTAATTCTAAAAATATATATTCTCTTTTTTCTGTTTTTTGTTTTGTTGTTGCAACAGTCGCGCGCCACTCCGACTAACCGCAAGCGCCACAAGTGGCGCGCGCGCCGCCAGTTGAGAAGGCCTGATTTAAACCATTGGCTGCATCTTACCTTGCCTCCTACATTGTCTGGGTCTGATACAAGCTTCTCTGCTGCCAGCACATGACCATGGACGACATTATCTACATACGTGAAGTCAACCAAGTTTGCACCATTCCTGTAGGAACACATAAAGCACATATTTAAACAATCAGGGACATAATTATACGTTTTTTAATCTATGGTATGCCTGATTAAATTTTGGTTCAATTCTGACAAAATATATCACATAAAGCACATACTTAAACAATCAGGGACACAATCCAACGTCTGTTTAATCTGTGGTATGCCTTATTGAATTTTGATTCAATTCTGAAAAAATATATCACATGCAAGCACATACTTAAACAAAAAGGGACACAATCCTACGTCTTTTTAATCTGAGATTCAACTCTGACAAAAATATATCGTGCATGAATAAAAATTACCGAAAAAATCTGTACAGCTCGATCCTTATTTTGTGGCGATACTGATTGTTTGCTGCTGTGAATGTTTCAGGGACAAATAGACTGTGAAACCTTCAAATTGGCAATGCGACAAATTCAATATGGGAAGTGCTTTTTCATAGGAAACCAGAAAGTTTGTTCCAACGGCCCCTTATGAGAAGACTCTTGAATAAGTAAAGGTACAGTAACAGTTACTACCCAATATCTTTCTGTTATTTGGCTCTTTTCCCACTAAAAAAATTTGTTTAAACAAGTTTAAGCCTCGGTCACAAATGCCATTAAGAACTGCTACGAACGCTGTACGAACCATTTTCAGACAATGGAAATTCGGGAAGACAATGGAAAAACAGGGAGATTCGTACGAAATAATCGTTCGTACGAACCTTTGTGACTGCTCCATCAGCATCCGTTTAGCACAACAGGACAAATCGAGGGTCAGTGACACAAAGAAGTAACTCCATTTTGGCCATTTTGAGAAAAAGTGGTTTAAAGCTGGAGATCCACTTGGGCTTTAAGGAGTTAAAGTCTATGTTTCACTAGCCATTGACTTCAATGAGTTGTTGGGTGGAGTTTAGTCTTTGTGTTTCCTAGAAGTCCACATTTTTCTGAACATTTTGATATCAATTACTTGTTTTGGCAAAATATGGAGTTATGTCTTTGTGTCACTAAACCCTTGAAATGTACTTACCCTATCATAAACTTGGTTTTTTCCAGCTCTGGCTGTCTGGACCAACGTTGGCACCATGTGCACGTCACCCGGTCCAAAGATAGAGTGAGGTCTGATGGCTGCCGTGTAGAAGCTTTCAGCTGGGTTGTTTGCTTCCAACACAACCTGAAAGGAAAATTGAATTCAAATGCTAAACAAATTACAACAAAAAAAATTGGGGGGATAGGTAACAATTAAAGAAAACTCACCTGTGATAGCATGCAGAAAGTGAAGTTTTCATGGTTTCATTCCTGTTCAAATATGCGGTTAAGGTGGACTGTTCCACACCAGAGGTAATTTGTGCTCAAATGCTCAATTTCTCTTTCTTATAAACTAATATTTCAACAATATTGTTCACAACGAAATCCTCTTTATTGAAAAAGTGACATTCTGGTATCATCAGCAGGTAGAATCTTCATTTCTAAACAAGGACTATGTCCAATTTTTGTACATACCTTTTCTTGGAGTATTTTCGTTTCTGAGTAGGAGTCCATAAAACTTGTGGCATACGGTAGAGACTCGTCACCATTCTTGATATCCACTCCCTCGTAGACCACACTGGCACTGCTTGTTAACACTAACCTCTGCAGGCGGAAAAAGAAAGCGATAGAATTCTGAATTCACAAATTTAAATATAAAACCTTGAAAATGTCACCATCATTCATATTTGCTCTTTACAAAGGTTTCTTAATCCTGGCCAACCTTCTTAATGATAGATCATTTTATGGCAAAAATCAGGGGTTTTTGCACCCGACCCATCTTTAGGAGGAGGCCAGTTGTCGGACAAAGCCAGATGTAATTTGTACATGTAAGTCTTATACAAGGTTAATATCTGGCGGTTTGTTTTAATAAGCTCAAAAGAGCATATTACAAGGAGGTTAAAGCCCCACTGTACAACTTATAGCTACTTGCGCCGTCTATATAACAAAAAAATCTTAATCGGTGACCAATGGTCCCCCATGATCCCCTTTTTCTTATGTTAATTGAGGGCTGATTTGTGATTTGATGAGATAACCATCGGTGACCATGCAGGGAGGTCTAAGCCCTCCTTGCCAAACTAGTGCAGAGGGGCTTAGAAGAAAGCTCTTTTCTAACCGCTTTTGCTTTTACCGACACTATGCACTACTATTTGCACGTTTGTGCTTGTTAAATAAAGACCAACACTCATACCTTGACACCAGATTCTTTGCATGCAGCGATCACATTCTTAGTTCCTGTGTAATTCACCTTGTAGAACAGCTCTCTGAAAATAAATGGAATCAAGGGCAAAAAAAAAGAAACATACCGGTAAGTCTGTATTCTATGAAGTCACTTTAACCAGACCCTGGGTCAAACAGTATGTTTAACAAAGGAAACCTTAGACTTTTAGACTTCAATCTTAACTTTCTTTGTTATAACCAATTAAAAATAAAAACTTAAGGCCAGCATCTGATTCAGTTTTAGTAGGACTCTAGAAATCTAGGACAGTTACCAACTAACATATTATTTAAGCAGATGCATCACAATGTCTGCTGGAGTTGTAATAAAGAGCAGAAGTCATGTCTAAACTGGGGGAATCCGTACACTCCTAGATGCATTTAGGAAGAAATTTCAAGAATTGATGAACAAAATCTTTTCTGCTCCTGGAATTTCATTGATATTATTGAAAATATTTAACTGAAGAGATCTTAATCCAGTTGTGCAGTGTTTTACAAGTGGCATATCTCTTAATTAACACTATTCAGGTGCAACTTGAGTATTTACAGGTCAATTATACACTAGATCATAGCTTTTTATAATTACCTGTTATTGCTTAGGGGGGACGGAGAAGCAACATGAAAAACCACCTCTACATCCTTCAGGGCTGGACTCAAATCCTGAAGAGAAAAACACAAATTTACAAATTAAGAAATATGAATAAAATATGTATAAGATTAAGATCATTGTTGCAGAAATATTTCAGGTGATATAATGTGGTTTGATCAGAGCTCTAGCAGGGGTTGCAATGCAAATGAATAAAATCATTATGTATAAGGGGAGCCTTCCAAAGTTGCGACTGTGCCGCGACGCGTCGGGGCGCAGAGCAGGATATGAGAACAAAGGAGGCGCCCATTTGCGCCTTTTTGCGTCGGATACGAGAGGACTTCAGTTGGTTCCCAGCTCATTAAAATCTGGCTATTGTTTGGAGTCTCATTCTTACGAAATTACCCCGCTGGGGCGCGCCCCGGTGAAGCACTTGACACTTGTGAATGGGAGCTTAAACTTTGAATAGCTTTCGCGCCCTTTCGCGCCCGGTCCGGCGCATTAGTTATTCATGTATAGTGCCTGCTTGTGTGTCGCTCTCGTCTGGCGAGATTTGACTCTGAAAAGCATTACTTTGGCTACTGATTTGTTTTAATATTATTTTACGTATATGACATTGGTTACAATGTTTGTTCTGATTGTTTATTTTCCTCTCAACATCGGAGTTCTGTAGGCGTTAACGTTGGCATGATTGTTCATTATTTCATCTCCTCCTGTTCTGTTCATGATTGTGTTCAGTATATCAATTTTAATACAAATTGATTTGTTCACGAAAAAAACAACTTCATTTTATACTTACCCCACCCTCTCTGACATTGTTTTCCTCGTGCATGTTTTGACACTTTATTTGTTTCATATTACATTAAAATTGTGTATATTTCCTCTAGCGATGTTATCGCATGTTTTGTTTTCTTTCATTTTCGTTGCATCTTGTAAACAGTTCTGTCGTATGATCATTATAAATCATATAATTATATCATCAGTCTGTTATTTCAATACATAGATCCTTTGAATCTTCTTAAAATTAGATAACGTATTTTTAAATCCTTGATGTTGAAAATGATACTCAATCAAGAATGTCGTAGTTTCTCCTTGAATTTGATTTAAAAAGCGTTTTTATCTGTATTACGATTTTTGTTTATGCATATGATATCCGTATTGTCGGGAACATCATCAATATGTTTCGTTAGAAGGAAGGCGCTCATTTTCAGAATGTTCTTTCTTTGCAAAACACTAATGTTACGAACAAAATTAAATAAACTGTACCCGTATCATCGGGGATATCGCAAAACTCCCAGAGAGATTATCAATTGCAAATCAACATAGTAAATCATGCCTAAATCGTAAGAATAGAGCATGCATAAAAAAAAGAGCGTTACCAGGAAATAATGTTTGAAATTTCACCTCGAACATATCTCAAGAAGAAATTAGTTTATCATTCTGTTCCAAAGAATGTTAACGAATATTTATTTACGAAGAAAGGGGGGGGGGGGTTACAGCCGCGGCCAGTTTTAGATCTAGGTCATTGTTGAGAAGAACTGAAATACGTATATATTGTGCTTAATTGGGGCCACGTGGTATCGAAAGAGCGTTCTAGAACAAATAATACAAGCCATGGAAATTCGTTCAATTGCTTCTCGTAACAGAACATTACTGTCTCACTAGCTGTCTAAATAATGATCCATCATGCGCGTGTTGGTATCAAGTAGTAGACGGAATTTATAATGATTGCGTTGTTTTGGGCCATTTTTTCTTTAGGAGTGTGGGGGGGGGGGGCTAGCCCTTATTCTTCTTCTACTGGGTCATCACGAAACACAAATAGTGTTGACATTTTCCGCAATCCCTTTAGCAGGCGCGGATCCAGGTTTTCTTAAGGGAGGGCGCCCAATTTTTTTTTTTTTGCTCTTGAAAATGTGAAAATCGCGCCGCCCGAAAAGTCGCTCAGTGGGGGAGGCGGGGGGGGGGGGGGGGGGGGGGGGGTTGTGAGCACATTTTTTTTTTGGCCCTCTAAAATTTTAAAATTTGCACCCCCCCCCCCTTGAGCGCCAGGGGGGGGGGCAACCCCCAGAAAAGGTAAAAATCACGCCCCCCCCCCCCTGGATCCGCCACTGCCCTTCAGCGCCGAGGGTAGAAAAGCCTATAGAAAAGTCAGCTGGACAATAGCAATTTAATGTTGGTCAACCAATCAGGGAGAAATACTGGGCACACATGTACACGATATTAGCCCACGTCTTCAATATAACCAGGAAATCCCGATTTAACTATTTTAGCACATGCTCACAATATGAATTTCAAATCTGGCTATTGTTTGGAGACTTATTGTTATAAAGGGGTACTTTTCACGCACCAAAGTCCGGCTCGTCTAGTACACAAAAGTCCGGCCCGTATTGACTTTACACACCGGATTTAGGGGGCTGTTTTCAAAAGGAGGGAACATGCATATGCATACCCTAGATAACACTCAGTGGGGGGGGGGGCGGTGCGCTTAACGGCGAAGCGCTCTTTGTGAATTGTGAATTAGTGAATGGGAGCTTAAACTTTCAAAAAGCTTTAGCGCCCGTTCCAACGCATTAGTTATTCATGTAATCCCCGCGTGTGTGTCCGCTCTCGTCTTGCGAGATTTGACTCTGAAAAGCATTACTTTGGCTACTGATTTGTTTCATTATTATTTTTACGTACATGACATTGATTTAGATTGTTATTCTGATTGTTAATTTCCCTCCCAACATCGAAGTTTTTTAGGCATTGACGTTGGCATGATTGTTCATTTCTGTTCGTTAATGTGTTCAATACTTCAATAATTATATTAATTTGTTCACGAACAAAACAGAAACGATATGTATACCGGTAATTGTATTCCTTCTGTATGTTTTGCCACATTATTGTTTCATATTGCATTATTTTGTTCTGTCATCCGATCAAAATAGGTCATATATCTATATCATCAATCTGTTCTTTCTCATGCAAGATCGATTTAAAGAATAGAAACGTAGGTTCTCTAAATCTTCGCAAAATCAGCTATTGTATTTCAACACCGTGATTTAAAAATGATACTTATAATCAAAGACATTGTAAGATTCTGCTTGAAATAAGATTATAGGGCGTTTATAAATATGTCATACGAAACGAACAAACATCTGCAAATTAAAGATATTACAGAAATGATAATCGTATTGTCGGGAGCCTGCATTATCAAAACGTTTCGGTAGATGGAAGACGCTCTTTTTCGAAATGCACTCACCAAAATTCTGCTCGAATCATAAGGAACACTGTCTCCCTGCAAAATTATAAAACTAATTTTACGAAAAAAAAGGAATATCTGCATTATCGGGAAATCGATATACTCCCAGAGAGATTATTATTTGCAAATCAACATTGTAAATTATGTTTGAACCGTATGGGACCTTGAAGAAAGAAGGAGTGTTTATCGGACACGATATTCGTTATTTTCACCTCGAACAATTCGAAATCGCCTATATCTGTTCCAAACATGAAATTCGATTGAATATTTCTTCGCGAAGAAACTGTATTGGTGGTGGCATTTGACGTAACAATTTGTTGTCATCAATTGCTCGTGAGGTTTTGACGTTTCATATTTGTTAGCTAGCGCTAGTAAAGTCTTTTGTTTTAACGTGCACTGCATTTGTGCACTGTATATAGTTATAAGGCCTGAACACGTCATGTTCACATTGGGTGTTATATAGCATACGGATATTATAGTACATGTAACTTTTACAAGGACATTGTTATTGCAACGCAATGACAAAAGACAGCTCTTTGAGCAGCTAATAGTTGGTGCACCCATGTTCCGCTCATAGGCGGCTATTACCAATTACCGGGCATTATTTGTTATTGCATCATTAGTTTTCTATTTATTTATTTAGTTTTGGGGAGGGGGGATATCGTATTACGAATTCATGACCCTTATGCATAATGACCATGTTCTAAAATTACAAATAGCGGTCTTCATGAATAGTTGTCCAATGAATAGCGGTCCTTATAACTAGCGAGCGGAGCCCTCCTGATGGGCCTCCGCCATTTACGTCCGGCCGTTCACTTCGCCGCCCCCTCCCTCACACACACACACACACACACACACACACATAATACGAAGCCTTAATAGTGTACCTAAACAAGAATCTATAGCAAGTCGGACAATTATAGCGATCAAACAATAGCCTTGCTCGGCCGCGTGAAATCCTGCCACGGCATTCTATATTTTTTCCTTAAGAGCGAACTTTTCTTTTGTATTCGTTCCATAGAACTCTACTTTATCTTAAAGCGAGGTGAAATGGAAAGAGCGTCATCATGAGTAGATCTTTTGTTTGATGTTATCCTTCTTCTCCCTAGTTAAGTCAAACCTCAATTGAGGCCTATCCATAAAAGGTAGCTTCCTGTACCGTTTGCTTTTTTTTTTTTTTTTTTTTTACCTGACTGCTATATGAAGCATATGCTCTGAATTAGGCAAACAGGAGACCGGCGGCTTTAAGACCTCTCCGAACGAAATGTAATGTTGAGTTATGCCTTACCAAAGGGCACTAGCATATCGACTTGGTTTCTAACCAGGGAGCTCCCGGTTACGAGCTGCTCTGCTCTACCACTGGGCTAAAGCGCCTCCCTCCTTTTAAAAAGATCTTTTAAAATTTGCGTTTTTTTTTTTTTTTTTTTTTTTTTTTTTTTTTTTTTTTTTTTTTTTTTTTTTTTTTTTTTTTTGATTAAGAATCAAAACATGTTTGGTATGTTTTTGTATCTGTGCAGTATGATTTCAAAATTTCACTTTCGCCACTTAATTATACAAATCTACGAATAAATGATTCGAATGTTAGAGCAGAAATCGATGTTTGTATTTGTGTCCCTGCCCGTTTTGCGATCATTTAGTACATATAGCGCAAAGTAGAAGTCGAATGATAAATTATCACCATGAACTGATTAATGTTTTGTATGGCATTTCCATTTGCTGCTCAACTTTATCGCCATCAAGCTACGCTTTTTTTTTACATCTTCATGACACACATGTTTTATAATCTCGATATAGTTCCTAGACTCTTTTTTCTATTCATTCCACTTTTAAAAAGAGCTATGGAATTATTATGATTTAAAACGCATTATGGACGGGCAATTTTCGAAGGCAAATCTCGGGCGTGAAATCCTGCCACAGTATTTTATGTTTTTTCCTTTAGAGCGAACTTTTCTTTTGTATTCGCTCCATACAGAACTCTACTTTATCAAACAGCGAGGTGAAATGAAAAGAGCGTCATCTTGAGTAGATATTTTGTTTGATGTTATCCTTCTTATCCCTAATAAGCAAACCTTCAATTTATTAGAACCAAGTCAAGGGAGGAGAAGAAGAAAAAAAGAGGATTTTACTGACAAAATATAAATTCTTCCAAGCTCAGGCTGTGGCAACGCGTAGCGTGAATATGAATGACGGGAGAGAAAGATAATTCCTTTGTCCATTATTAGGACGCTAGAATAATATCGCGATGTGGGAATTATACAAATATGTTGATAATCATTCAAATTACAAACATAACAAGCGTCCTAAACAGTAATCAATTTGCCGACTATAACCGCATACATGTATTCATTCACATCATTCGCCTTTTTTTGTTGTTGGGGACAATCAAGCTCACAATTAAACAGCCATTAATCGTACATAGTCATCTTTATTTCACATTTCATACAGTCGTCACAAAAATTAAAAGGAGGCGTATTAAACCCAACAAAAATAAAATCATAATTTATTCTGATCAAGATGAACGAGTGTGTTGATTGCCCCCCGAAACAAAGACGCTCCCACCAGACAAGTTCATGCTGTGCTGTAGCAATGTACATCGCAAAGCTTCCACAATGATTGGAAAGATAATACCCCGCCCGTTACGACGCAAAACGGCGCGAGAAGAATAGATCGCGACGCGAGAAGAATACATCAAGTTTTTACAAACAATGGAATGTTTATCAGAACAAGAACCGAAGGAGGGGAAGACAGGCTTTGGCCGACAAATACTTTCTATATATCAAGTTTGAACTGTACCGCGCACCCCGAGCGAGAACAATGACGGGAAAGATAATCTTCCATCGCCTGGTAGGGCGCAAAAGGGCGCAAGAAGAATAGAGCGGGTTTATACCAACAATAGACAGTTTCTTTTCATATGCAAGAATCAGATGAGGGTGACTATTGCGCCCCTTCGCGCCCCTTTGCGCCTCAATGCGTCTCTTGAGACGCGACTGTTCTATTCATCGCGCCCCGACGCGTCCGGGCACAGTCGCAACTTTGGAAGGCTCCCCTAAATATATCCTCGATTTAGTAAGTAATATAAAGGACAAAAATAGCCTCAAGTTACCCAATATGTTTAGAGATGTTAATACTTTGTAAGTGTTATTAGAAGATAGTGCTATGACACATCCAATAATATTTACCTCATACCTGCCAACCTGAGACAAGAGAAATTAGGAGTAAATTTTTCTGGATGGACTACAAGGTCGCGAACCACCGAAGGATTGGGGTAGTAGCCCGTAGATGGGGGGGGGGGGGTACACAGGACTTTAGGGTCTATTTTTTTTTCTCTCCATTTTAATGGTGCAAATGGGCCTTTTCCTTTAACCTTTTCGCCCCACACATAAACAATTTTTGAAATATCAAAATGTGAACACTCACAAAACTACATGTTTCACTACCCACCTCAGTTAGGAGCCCTATTTTGCAAAGGTATATAGTAGTAGTAATCCAAAATAAATCCGAGGAAGTCCGGTAAATAACAAGCTTCCACGATCGCACAAGCATTGAAGAAAACACGCCAATGTATACAGTGTTTATGCATGGTGTATCAACTGCACATGTAATATAAATACACGTGGGCTATACGCATGCAGTTACTATGCAACAACGCTGCATGTAGTGTATGTATTAGTACAACGTCCGCACCCACTTTATCGATATAGCTTGCGCAAGTGCTTCCATGTACTAGTACATGCAGTACATGGATAATGACTGCAGTACACGGAACTAACGATCACGTTCGGGCTGCGCTGTGTATATCTTCTATGAGCGCGAGCGCGGATGTCGGCGTGATCTGGTTATCAGTGCTGTGTTATGCTTTAGTCTTCTGCAACAGTCGTTTGTTTTAAAAATATTTTAAAATTAAAAAAAATCAGAGTTTTGAGGCATGCACTCGGAATTCGGAGTTGGTATGAAAAATGCAGAGGAACTCCGCCTAAATCGGGGTGGTTGGCAGGTATGTTACCTGTGTGACAGTCTCAGTGTCTAAATCTAGACGCCTTCCTTAGATGCGTACCGTGCTGTCTGGACTTAGAAATATATACAGTCAAACCTGCTTTAGTGACCACCTATCTACAACAGCACATTTCTTGTTTCCCTTGAAAATGGTTTCTCATTGAAACATGTACTAAAGGAACCTGTCTACAACAATCACATTTCTTGTTTCCCTTGGGCGGTCGCTGTAGACAGTATTTACCTGTGTGACAGTCTCAGTGTCTAAGTTCAGACGTCTCCCTCAGACGTGTACAGGCAGACAGAAGCTAGCTGCTGTCTGGACTTAGTCTTAGACAACAAAACTGTCACACAAAGTAAATAATTTTTGATCTGACAAAGAATAAGAACTCTTTTCTACCTGTCCAAACCATTCTAATGAAATTGTTCAGCAAAATACACTACCTGTATACTGCACAGATCTCCAATAAAGAATGTGACCTTCTCATTCTCAAAGGTCTTTCTGATGTCGAAGGCATTGACCGTGTGACCTTTGGCCAGCAGAGCTTCCACTATGTGTCTGCCCAGGAAACCACACCCTCCAATTACAAGGCAGTGCATGATGCTTTAGAAGATTCTTTTCAAGGCCTGTATCGATATTGAGGAAAGAAAGAATAAGATCAAACTGGTTATTGAGCACTGAAAATAATTTCTATCGAGTACCATACCCCCATGCCAACCAATCAAAGACTTTGGCCTTCTAGTTCACAAAGGTCTTTCTGATGTCGAAGGCATAGACTGTGTGTCCTCTGCCCAGGAAACCACAACCTCCAATCACAAGGCAACGCATGGTGCTTTAGAAGAAACTCTTCAGGGACTGTTTTGTTTTAGAAAAGAAAGAATAAGATCAAACTGGTTATTGCAGCACTGAAATGCCTTGCAAGTATCATGGCCAGGTGTTAACACTCATCCCTGATCTGTGCATATGATTCCAGCGATACATCCCTGCCAAATGAATGGTTTTTTTTGTAATGTTAGCTCATTATCATCAGGAACACATGGAAAGCAAGCAAAGCCCTAACACTCTGGAAACAAATTTACATAGTCTATGTTGGGTTAAATTCTTGACCAATTTTAAAGTGATTTGTTATGAGAGAAAAGAAAAGTCAACAATCGAACTCCGAAGCCAATTTGCAAAGTTTGTCGGGGTGGGAATGGGCGATTACAAACACATTTTAGGTTATGTTTCTATCACTCTTCACACTGGCATATGAACGCCATATAAGGCTAGTACTAGTAAGACCTAGTTAGTAGCGTCAGAAGTTCAAGTACCAAGAGTCGAAGAAAATATCGACAAATTCACTGAGGAGATCATTTAATTTTTAGGTGTGATTGTGAAGCAGACCAATGACAACAACAGCAACTTTGATTTAATTTTTATTTTATTTTTTTAATATCACTATCAGCGCAGTATTCGAGTAACGATTTAAAGTCTATTCCTCGAAATCATGATACAAGTTTACAACCTTAGATTAGAATAAGTGAGATAGCAAGCATAAAAATATTGCAATTCAACGACAAACGAAATTTTAAAAGCACACACACTATGTCACAGTCCAACGAATATTTGCACACTCGAGCGCGGGGAACAGCCCGGTTGTTGGGCAACAGCCCGGTTGTTGGGCGACAGCCACTTGCTCGCTGAAGCCATTGCTCAGCTCAGCTCAGCCGCCACGGCCACCCCACACCTCGATCCGCGGTCATGGGCCGCAATTCTGTCGGATTCGTACATCATTCACATCAAAATAAGACAATTAGGAATACACAATGGTATAAAATAGAACTTAATCATAGCTTGACATTATTGGCACATTTATTTCACAGTCACTTACTCTAAGGATAAATACAAGACAATATCATGAAAGACAGTCGTGAACTTAGTTGCAGCAGACGCTTGATCGTGCGATGGTAAGGAGAGACTGGTACATAGTAATTTCTTTGCTTTTGCAGCGCACGTTGGTAATGCTTAACATATTCCCACAAAAGGTTACCAGTTTAAATAAAGTTATGATTACTCGTAACAGAGTTCAAAGGTCATCCCAGAGAGGGTGGTGGTGGTGGCCTGGTGGAGGGGTGGGGGTGGCCTGGTGGAGGGGTGGGGGTGGCCTGGTGGAGGGGTGGGGGGGAGCAGATGTGGCATCGAAGTTCTGGCGCCTGGTTTCATTGATGACGAAACGTTTCCATGGCTTTATTCATATATAGTTAAAGAATAATTCTTTCAAATAAGAAAAAGTAGGGTGACCGCTTTTGAAAGACTGAGGGCAGGGGTGGGGGCGGGGGGGGGGGGGTTGGAGAAAACATTCCAAAGAAGTATTTTAGAGCTTGGTAGAGGGAGGGGTGAAAAGAATTAGGAAAAGCAGCCTCCAATGAAAGCGCTTGAAGAGGGCCAGACGGCGTTCCAGGGAGAAGTTGAACAGTAAAGTTTTTGTAGTGTCGATTTGCCTTGATTATTGCGACCAGAGAGATGAGAGTTTAAACTCTCATCTCCCTGTTGCGACGAACAAGTTAAAAACAAAGTCATCGTAATGCAAAATCTCTTTAAAAATTCATAAGTAAAGTAGACCCGGACGTTTGGGGGATGAGAAGTGTTTGGTTGGGTTGGTGCAGGAGAGGTATATGACGTGGAAATAAATTCGCAATTAGGGATATTTGAGTAACCCCTTTCTCTTTCTCAACCTTTAGCTATTTTCCTCCTCCTCCTCCACCTAATATTCTCCTCCACCTTCTTCTTCTTCTTCTTCTTCTTCTTCTTTTTCTTCTCCTTCTTCTTCTTTTTTTTTTTTTTTCTTCTTCTTCTTCTTCTTCTTCTTCTTCTTCTTCTTCTTCTTCTTCTTCTTCTCGATCCTTCTTCAAAGTACTCTTTTCTTCTTTCTGTTTAACCATTCAATTCGATCTTTTGTAGGCAGTGAATTTTGGAATAGATTACCTATTGATGTCAGATTGACAAGGTCTAGAAATAGGTTTCGGAATTCTGTTACAAGTCATTTGTAGAATAAGTCATGAATGGAATATCAAGTTAAATAATTTGCATATGTACACAATTTATATTTTACATTATTAGTTTGTATATTGAAAGACATTGTTGAGTATTTTTTTTATGGTATCGATTGTAATAGTAAATTCATTATTTTTTGTTTTGTTACGTTTTCTAAACTGATTTGTACCAAAATACTTTGTTTAGCTGTTTAAGGGGTTAGACTCGACTAGCACATGTGTTATTATCCGGCCCCTTTTACCAACCAATAGTTTCCCTTCTTGTATTTATGTAAAATCATTGTATGAAATGTAGGCTATGTATTGCTGTTGGTAAATAAATCATATCAAATCGGGTACAAGTGCACCTCGTGCCACCCTAACCCCCCCCCCCCCCCCCCGCAGCATTTTAAAAAAGGGGGAACTCTGGACTGCCAGAACAGTCGGTCAAAGTCCAGTTGCATAGGTCTTCAAATTCATTGAATCTCTATCTTTATCTTTATATGGCCTTGTAAATCGCAGCTACAAGTATACTGATAATCACATTTGTCAATTAAATTAAAAGCGGGCGTGTCAGTATTGGACTGGCTACACGAAACATCAATGCCTATATTATGATGAAATTAATGTGAGCTGCATACGTGTTAGTTTAGTCAATCCAATCTGTTGTTCCACCCATGCTAGGGTTCAGTGCGTTTAATAAGTTCACTCCAAGTCACGAGGAGGCATTATTAATATTATGTCGGACAAAATAATCTCATGCGCGGAGTCGGACGATATTGTGGTGCGTTCCCCGATCTGTCTCCACGGCCCTAGCACGTTGCCTGAGCGCCATCGGAGACAATCAGATATGGTTCGAACCCTTCTGCTATTGTTACCTGGCCAAGGTGGAGTTCGAGCGAATCACGGGCAGGAAACTACCCAAGGACATCCGAGGAAATGAACAAACCTTCCTGGAGGCATCAAGTATCCTTCAGAAGTTGACGGCATCTAATTTCAAACCCGATTTTATATCGTAAGTAAAAACCAACATTTAGACAATAATATCGTTGTGGATTATAGAGGAAAATGCTAACCATATAAGAGGAGGCGGAGGCTTGGGCTGCAGGTTTAGGAACGACAGGAGCTAACTGCAGCTACCTCACATAGTTAATAGAGGCAGCCAACATCTCAAATATGGACAGCCAAGATGGTCTGTTAGTAATATTGTGATATCTCCTTCATAATTATCGAGAATATTTTAAGACGAAATTACAGTGTGTATCAAGTGGTCATTTTTTGCTCACTCTCTCGCTCGCTTCCCTCGTTCGATATGTTTGAAAAGTAATCTTGTTTGAAGATTGATATTCGGGCAAGGATCGTCAGCCAGGCGCAGATCCAGAATTTCTTAGGGGGAGGCCCAAATTTGAAATTGATTTAAAATTTAGTGTGCTGAAAGTAGTCAGCACTAATTTTTCTTTTTCTTGTTTGCCCCCGGAAAATTGAAAATCGTGCAGGCCGATATTTCGCTCAGTGTGTTGGGGGAGGGGGGGGGGGGGGGGGGGTTGGTAGTGAGCACTATTCTTTTTTTTTAACCCCGAAAAATTCAAAATCGAGCCGGCCGGTATTTCGCTCAGTTGTTTATATCTGATAATTATTTATGGTTTTCTTTGAAGGCGTCACTGTGCGACACCCTCTAACAGTAAATTCTCCCAACCAATTTTTGAATTTGTCAATCATTAGAGAACTAACAAGAGACAGTGGTATTCTTAAGTTGCGACCATGTGCTGAGCTGGAGGAAGTTACATACCTTTTAAAAAACATTTTTTATTGAACATATTGTTCAATGTATTGTTCAATAACACGCTGGTTGATAAAACTGTCTAAATTTGCAATAAATATTACCTCAGAACACATTGTTTGATTATTTTTTATTCAAACTTTTAATCATTGTCATCGTCATCATTCTGGCATCTACCTGCTTTATTTACTTTCTTGTCTGTGTATTAACTACAGCTAGATTTCGTATCGTTTTATAGATTGAGTAGACACAGCATGTCGGTCTTAACCGACAAGTCACCGCATTCATGTAAAATGAACGAATCAATCAACGTCAAATAATTGATTTATCATCGCTCTATAATGAATTATTTCACATTTTAACCTACCTGCACTCGGATCCATCACGAATGAACATTTAGCAGGTATCTTAAATGTTCGTTTTGCTTAATTTCCTCTCCACTTCTTTTTCCCTGTTTTATACTGATTGTTCAAACTTTTTTTAATCAAAGCAAAAGATTATATTCATATTTTCTTTATCCAATAGAGAGAGGGAATGAGAGAATATGGTAATGTATAATTCCACTCCAAAAATAATTTGTTTTTAATAGATGCAGAAAAACAAGAGAAACAGAGCAAACAAAATTTTAGTAAAATCTGATAACTAATAGGGAAGTTATGATTTTTTTTTCAAGTATGAAAAACTATGAAACTTAAAAATCACTACACAAATTGCCAATTTGGTTATCAGTTTGTGACGTCATTGCCTCACGGCTAATATTTAGCAGTTGCTTTATATTTATTTGTCTCATTATTTTTTTTTTATCCCCCAAAACTTGTTTACACCATGCTTTTGCCCAGGTCATATGATTTGTATCATGCTGCGTGCATACATTTCACAAAATCTTTAATGATCTTTGAAGAATTGATACCATTTTCTGAATATTGTATATTTATAATCATTTATTTTTATATATTAAATAGTTTATCAAAATTCACATTTTTTATGATTTAACTGGAAAAAACTGATATTAGTGCATCCACACAAAAACATAGTACTATCAATATAACTTGGATGCTGATGTGAGGAAATACAATTTTTAGGGGGAAATTGGAAATTTATGTTATCAATATAAAGAAAACAATTAGGCCCTAGTGGATAGTGAGGCAATGACGTTACAGATCCACGAGTGAGTTGCCAATTTGTTTTGTAATTTTCAAAGTTTTTAATGTCATTAAAAATTCATAACTTTCTTATTAGTTATCCGATTTTGATCGAACTTTTTTTTTTATTGGTTTGTCTGATTTTTCTGCTTTTATTAAAATTAAGTTATCCATCCGCCTATGACATAAGAATGACGTATCGAGAATTATTCAACTGACTTGAATCGGGGAGGGGGTGGGGCGCAATCTTTCCTGGACATTGATGAGATGTATGTGGCCGCCCCTGTGTGTCATAACGTAACTTCAAGTAACTGTATTTGTTTATAATAAGAAAGTGAGACGTACCAACTGATTTGTAATGTAAAATATACAGAATCTTTGGACATCGTTATTTTCCAATGAATATTACGAGTTGTTTCTCTCTCTCTCTCTCTCATATTTGTTTAATTATCTCGGATTAACCTAGGTACCCATCCATCAAACGAAAGTTGGAAGAAGCGGATAGTCCCCATGTCTTTGTAAAAGAGATATCCAATGGTTATCTGGACGAACTGCGATTTCTCCCTCGGGGTTACCGACACGCCTTTTTGATTCGTCATCCTCTTCGGACGATTTCATCTTTTCGGACATCGGTATTCCATCACCTCCTCGACCAAGGAAAGCTCGATGGCGAGGCGGCCAACGAAGCGACCTTTGACATCGTAAAGCACAATCCCTACTACGCTTCCGGATTCCACTTCAAGGAGGTACACACCATTTGGAAGTTCGTTCGAGAGAATATGGATCGCTCCCCAATTGTCATCGACGGTGACGATTTATTGGCGAATCCTGCCGATTTGTTGCCGAAGTTTTGCCAAGCTGTCGGACTGCCCTACGACGAGCGTCTCCTGACTTTTGACCCGTCGATTGAATCACTCAACTCCTGGGTCACGGGAGCTGATGATATGCTCATGAATATTGTTAATTTCTACAACACTGCCATGACAACGACTCACTTCATACCAGCTAAAGAGATGCCGAGACGTGATCAGCTGACCCCTGACGTCATTAGATGCGTTGACGAGGCCATGTCATATTATACAGAGATGTATGAAACAAGAATAAAACTGTCATAGCGACAGGCGACAAACCAGATGACATTTCCCTTTATTTTCCCCTTCATATTCTTGAAAGTGCTTTTATGATTTACATACTCAGTTCTATGCACCACTATAGATAATAGTGGGCCCACAGCCCTTTTGTTGAATGCAGCATTACTAAATGCATGTACATGATGAAATTAAAACACGGGACAAAATAACACAATGACCAGGTGGAGCCTTAAAATATACGAATATGAGATCTGAAACATAAGCTACCATATGTTGCAGATTGCTGCTATGTTACATATAGAGGGGGTGGGGGATAAAACAGTGATTAAATATGTTAAAGAAGGTTCGCATTAATGATTAACTTCTGAGGACATTGTAAAAAATCCTGGCAGGAGTGATTAATTTGTCCACCCCTTCAGCTACACTTTGTCTACTTTTGATATTAACGATTTCATGAATATCATTATTTCTCTCTGATGCTGTTCCAGACTCGAATATGGAGAGTACGTGACGGCAGCAGGGTTATTGGGGTGGGTGTAAAACGTCGAAGTTCTGTACAACGGTCGACTCCAATAATTATTGAACTAAACAGAAGGTGTGATAAGAATGAACCCACTCATGTCTATATAAAAGCTGGTATCATATAAACTCACAAATTAATGGTTAATATTTAAGTAAAATTATGACCGCCTGTTGAATATCCGTTCAGAAACAGACAACTAGTGTATTTGAGTGCGTTCAAGTCAATTCTAGGCTCAAAGACTGAAGTTACGTTCCGTTTTATTGTTCAGTATTATGTCTACATGCCATGCTTCCTGTAATTACATATTTCAATCACGATATAAACGATAAACAAGTAGGAACTGCCCAGAAATATATTGATAATAATGGCAACTCTCTCTCTCTCCGATCTCTACAATCTTCTCCGACCTTTCAATTAAACTCCTCATTCGTGTAACTGCCTGGTTTCGTCTGATGCCATCTACGACAAGAATATTAAATATTCTGTTGAAATATTTTGGTAGTGGTTTTTGTTTACTTTCGTTTCTTTCTGTTGTTGTATTTGTGTGCGTTCATGCATTGAATGTCATTTGAGGAAAGATGCGATATGCAGATTTGCAAACAGTTGTCAAAGTCTGTCTCGGAAATATCAGATCTAAATCAATATTCAGATTAAATTCTTGTTTTCATGTTTACAATACTCACCCCCGCAGAACATAACATTAATTCTATAAAATACATAAAATATATAACGAAATTATTACTAGCGTTATATATATTTTTCATAATACAAACTAAAATATATATATATCTATATATTTTTACAATTATTTTTACTTGAATAGTTGATCCATTTATTAGCTTTAAAAGCAATGAGGGGTAGAGACAAAGTGAAGAAGTTATTATGATTTAAAAAGAAACATAGTTGTAACAAAGTGCTTAACTTTGCCAAAATTAGATATATTTTTAAAGTTTATTTCAATTACCGGTATAACTTTTTGTTCATATTACACAAATATATTACTTTTGATATTAAATCCAGAAGAATTTTTAATTTGCACTTTCTTTTGAAAATCAATCACCGCATTCGGTGAGTAACATGCCTTGTCAAAGATATATTTATGGAAGTAAAAGCATAAATGGATAAAGTTCAATAAAACGGACGTTCAAATGTCACTGAACACGTTAAAGGGATGGAGAGAGGGCCTACTTTTTATGACACTTTTTTTTTCTTTTTCTATTTCAGCTTTATAATAATTTCCCTTTTAGTGTCATAAAAGACCTAACACAATCCCCTCCACTTCCCCTACCCACACCCTCTCTCTCTATCTCTATCGATCTATCTATCTATCTATTTATCTTCTCTCTCTCTTTCCACTTCCATTTCTCTTCCTCTCTCTTTCCACTTCCCTTTCTCTTATTCTCTCTTTCCACTTCCCTTTCCCTCCCTCTCACTTTCTACTTCCCTTTATCTTCCTCTCTCTTTCCACTTCCCTTTCTCTCCCTCTCTCTTTCCACTTCCCTTTCTCTCCCTCTCTCTTTCCACTTCCCTTTCTCTCCCTCTCACTTTCCACTTCCCTTTCTCTCCCTCTCACTTTCCACTTCCCTTTCTCTTCCTCTCTCTTTCCACTTCCCTTTCTCTCCCTCTCTCTTTCCACTTCCCTTTCTCTCCCTCTCACTTTCCACTTCCCTTTCTCTCCCTCTCACTTTCCACTTCCCTTTCTCTTCCTCTCTCTTTCCACTTCCCTTTCTCTTCCTCTCTCTTTCCACTTCCCTTTCCCTCCCTCTCACTTTCTACTTCCCTTTATCTTCCTCTCTCTTTCCACTTCCCTTTCTCTCCCTCTCACTTTCCACTTCCCTTTCTCTCCCTCTCTCTTTCCACTTCCCTTTCTCTCCCTCTCACTTTCCACTTCCCTTTCTCTCCCTCTCACTTTCCACTTCCCTTTCTCTTCCTCTCTCTTTCCACTTCCCTTTCTCTCCCTCTCTCTTTCCACTTCCCTTTCTCTCCCTCTCACTTTCCACTTCCCTTTCTCTCCCTCTCACTTTCCACTTCCCTTTCTCTTCCTCTCTCTTTCCACTTCCCTTTCTCTTCCTCTCTCTTTCCACTTCCCTTTCTCTCCCTCTCACTTTCTACTTCCCTTTATCTTCCTCTCTCTTTCCACTTCCCTTTCTCTCCCTCTCACTTTCCACTTCCCTTTCTCTCCCTCTCTCTTTCCACTTCCCTTTCTCTTCCTCTCTCTTTCCACTTCCCTTTCTCTCCCTCTCTCTTTCCACTTCCCTTTCTCTCCCTCTCACTTTCCACTTCCCTTTCTCTCCCTCTCTCTTTCCACTTCCCTTTCTCTCCCTCTCACTTTCCACTTCCCTTTCTCTTCCTCTCTCTTTCCACTTCCCTTTCTCTCCCTCTCACTTTCCACTTCCCTTTATATTCCTCTCTCTTTCCACTTCCCTTTCTCTTCCTCTCTCTTTCCACTTCCCTTTCTCTCCCTCTCTCTTTCCACTTCCCTTTCGCTCCCTCTCACTTTCCACTTCCCTTTCTCCCCCTCTCACTTTCCACTTCCCTTTCTCTTCCTCTCTCTTTCCACTTCCCTTTCTCTCCCTCTCACTTTCCACTTCCCTTACTCTTCCTCTCTCTTCCCACTTCCCTTTCTCTTCCTTTCTTTTTCCACTTCCCTTTCTCCCCTTCTCTCTTTCATTTCTTCCCATATTACTAAAGTATAATACTCTCGACTTATACCAAAGCAGATCACTTTTATCACAGACCATTAATAGCTCTTTAGTCAGATACAAGATAGTTTGGGCATATAGAAGCATGCCACTTGGGATTTATTTATTCAAGTGCCATCAACTCAATTCTCGTTCATTTGCTTACTTTTTGTTGTCATGAATTGAACTCTCTTTTCTTTTTTCTCTTTATCCTTTCCCTCTCCCTCTCTTCCACTTTACACTCTTTATTTCTTCTTTCTTCTCAATTCACTGACAAACTGATTATCACCATTTTATAACTTACAATCAATTTTTTTTCATACTTAAAGTTATTACTGAATTTTTAAATCAACTGTTTTTTAATGCATGTTTATATGATACAATGTGAGCAATGTACTTTAACTTATTACTGAATTTTTAAATCAACTGTTTTTAAATGCATTTTTATATGATACAGTGTAAGCCAATTATTGTTAGTCTTTGGACTTTTCATTTTGTATATTTGTAATAAAACCGAAATTGAATTGAAATTGAATTGAAAAAAAATCCTGATACACGTGCACATGCAACCAAATACCTCCCACTTATGTATTGTGACGTCACACGAACTTAGTCGGTGAAGCCTGAAAAGATGAATAGTTCTGTGATCGCGTGTCACCCGTCATTTTGATTGCCAAAAGTTTGTGGAAAAGAGCAAAAAACACGTAAAACGGTCGACGAGTTGCAACTGATCAAATGATATGAGCTGACTACGTGCTGGTGTAATTATCCAATCTATTGCACCACACGGGGTTCAGTGCGTTTAATAAGTAACTCTAAATGTAAGTCGCGAGGACGCAATATGTCGGACAAACCTGATGCGCAGAGTCGGACGATATTGTGGTGCGTTCCCCGATCTGTCTCCACGGCCCTAGCACGTTGCCTGAGTGCCATCGAGGACAATCAGATATGGTTCGAACCCTTCTGCTACTGTTACTTTGCCCAGGTGGAGTTCGAGCAAATCACGGGCAGGAAACTACCCAAGGACATCCGGGGAAATGAACAAACCTTCCTGGAGGCATCGGATATCCTACAGAAGTTGACTGCATCCAATTTCAGACCCGATTTCATATCGTAAGTAAAAACCAACAGTATATCGTGGTGGATTGATTATGAAGGGACATTTTAGCCATAGGTATAACAGGCGGGGTGTGGGGGTTTGAAGTATGGGCTAACTGCATTGTCAAGCTACCACCATGTTATTTAATGTGGACAATACATAAACATTTACAGTGTGTTTAAAATTGATTGATTTTTTTTTCCTTCTTCTTCTTCTTCTTCTTCCTGCTCGCTCAGTATGCGTGTATTTAGAAACTAGTCTTGGTGGAATGTTGATATCCAGACAAGAGTCGTCAGCTCCTCTAACGAAATTGAGCCCCAATTTGTCAGTGTTCGCCGCCTATAATAATACGAGTGAACATGGAGGGGATTCCCCAAGTGTCATAAAGTAACTGCAAGTAAATGCATTGATTTTTTTATACGAGAATGTGTATCTTCTCTTCTTCGTTTCTCCCTCTCTCACTCTCTCTCTCTCTCTCTCTCCCTCTCTCTCTCTCTATGTTCCTCTCTCTCTCTCTCTCCCTCTCTCTCCCTCTCTACCTCTCTCCCTCTCCCCTCTCTCCCTCTCCTTTATATTTTGTATCTCGGATCAAACTAGGTACCCATCCATCAAACGTATGTTGGAAGAAGCAGACAGTCCACATGTCTTTGTAAAAGACATCCCCAATGGTTACCTGGACGAACTGCGATTTCTCCCTCGGGGTTACCGACACGCCTTTTTGATTCGTCATCCTCTTCGTACGATCTCGTCCTTTCGGACATCGGTATTCCATCAGCTCCTCGACCAAGGAAAACTCGATGGCGAGGCGGCCAACGAAGCGACCTTTGACATCGTGAAGCACAATCCCTACTACGCTTCCGGATTCCACTTCAAGGAGGTACACACCATCTGGAAGTTCGTTCGAGAGAATATGGATCGCTCCCCGATCGTCATCGACGGGGACGATTTATTGGCGAATCCTGCCGATTTGTTGCCGAAGTTTTGCCGAGCTGTCGGACTTCCGTACGATGAGCGTCTCCTGACTTTTGACCCGTCGATTGAATCACTGAACTCTTGGGTCACCGGAGCTGACGATATGCTCATGAATTTTGTTAATTTCTACAAGACTGCCATGACGACGACTCAGTTTATACCAGCTAAAGAGATGCCGAGACGTG